ACCTCCTCAGCAGGTGCAGGTGCTTCCTGCCTTGACTGCGCGGGCTCCTGGCGCAGAGTTACGTAGTCTTACTCGGCTGGCACTTGGCTCCACTGCAGCACCTGTGTACCTTTGCTTCCTTCCTAGAGTCATGGAACTCGTGACGCGTTTGCGCATGCTTGGCCAATGTGAGAAAACTCCCGACAAGAAACAACTGGGTAAGACTTCACAGAATGAGTGCTTGTCTGAGTTGCGCCGATGTCTACAGGCTGCCAGGCTCGCTCAACACTCATGCCCACGCCTGGCCGGTCGCCTGTTTCAGCGTCACGGCGGCAAGATCTCGCTGCACGTCCTGCTTGAGAGGCCAAAGACCTCACTCTTGAGGGCTTGCCCATGTGCCCACGTGGCCTCTGGAAGTTTATCCATCTCGGGAAGGACCTTGAGGCTGATGGCACCTGAAGATGCAAAACCATTTCTACCCAAATCATCGGACAAACAGGCTGTTCCAGTCTGTCCTACGACAGTAACTGGTACGACAGCTCAGCTCAGCACAGCCTTTGGGCGCAGTTCCGGGGAAGTTCTGGCTGAACAGAACGCGGCCCTGGCCGACCACTAACCGTCGGAGATTCTGATACCGCGCTTCCACCAACAGTGCCTTGGACGCATCCATCCACTGCATCAGCCGCACTAACGACGATGCACCTCGGAAGTCGCGATCACTGTCAAACAATCTTCATTAATATGGCTATGACACTGGATGATGATGATGATGATGATGCTGCTGCTGCTGCTGGCGGCGGCGGCGGTGGAAGTGGAGATGGTGATAACCATGATAATAACGATACTAGTTCTGATGGCGATGGTGACGGTGATGGTGGTGACGGTCATGGTGACGGTCATGGCACTGACTCGTGGTCTCTGTGGACTGGCGACGGTTTTCATGAAGGCCATGCAAGGCCCCAGGCCTGCACTTGCGAAAGCTCGCTGTGCGGTCACCGCGAGGCTGCAAGCGAAGTGGCTGTACCTCTCTCCAACCCCAGATACAACAGCAAAGTAATCAGTCGTTCGATTCTGCAGGCATCACTGTACCGATCTCGCCGACTCTTAGCTCAGCATTGCGAGTGCTTCAACATTGAACGACACGCAGATGTGCGGGGCACGTGAAGAAACGCCCAGACTCGCCCGCTTCATCCGGAGCAACCTGTCCAAGAGAAAAGCCCCCCGGCCCCGGATGGCTGTGTCAGAGTTTGTTTTAGCTGCCCTGGGCGCAGACTATACAACATCCCTCCCGTTGGCGACGCCGTGACGAGTTACGCAGGTTCCGCCATGTCGCCTTCATCTGGACTTCCCGCGGCACGATGGCGGTCTTCGCCACCTCACGGAAGACCGAGAAGGCCGCAGCTTTGGGGACCAGCTCTGGCACCACCTGAAAGCTCAAGCTGCATATCTCTGCATATCTTTGTCGGAAACTAAAAGAGAGCCCTGTAAGGCCCTCAAGACTTGCATAAGGCCCCAAATGGCCCCAAGAGCCCATGTACCCGGCAAACAGATCAGCGGCTGCCCTGCCTCGAAGTCGGACAGGCACTGGGCTAAAGCGTTTTGTGCCTCGCTCTGGGCCTCAGTGAAGCACGATGCCCGGGCTGCTAAGAGCAAAACGAGACGAGTGCAAGCCACCAATTTCACAAAAAAATGTTCTTTTTGTGTTCAGTCGCAGCAGAGATGCAGTTTATGCTGCCATAGTTCTGCTTTCTTGTTCACGAAACTCCGTCTCTCCAACGCACTGCAAACACTTGGCAGTCAGCCTCTGGCAGCATAAAGGGGCATTGAATCTGCGGCACGATGAGCTCCGGAGAGGCTCATGGTGATCTCGCAGTGACGACAAGCGCATCGTGGTGTTGCACGCCACGAACTCCACACAGCTGCATGTGTCCACCCTTTAGCCAGGTTCCTCAAACGAAGATGTTATTCTCATTCTCGAAGTGTGACTGTGCACATCTAGCTATGACCTACAACCACCAGCTCCCTTCAACCATTGTATGTATGTCATTGCCCGGCACGACACACTTGTGCTGAGCGGAGCCTACGTGACGCGCTCACCCGAGGATGCATTCAGGGGCTCGCCTGCCAAAGCCATGCCGGCGTGTGCCGATCTTACGCATAGCTTGACTGGGGAGGACTCCGAAGCAGCGAGAGGTTAAAATGAAAAGGAACTCCGAGCACACTTGCCGCTCCCTGCTCGCCAGTCATTCTGACTGCCCAATCCCACGAACCAATGAGCTCGCAACGCTTGGCACGCGGTATTGCCAGTGTTGCCATACTGTCTTTGGATGGCCGGCCAGCCTTTCTACGCCGCCATCGCTCTTCGAGCCATTGATACGTGGACCCAATGAGGAAAGGTCCGGAGAGTGCCCAAATCGCGCAAGGAACTTCTCTCAAACAAAGCTTTCACGGTTCTTTGCCAGCTGCTGTTCCACATGCAAAGATAAATAGCTCAACAGCATACTGCACCCTTTTTGTAGTAGCCGCGGCAAGTTCCTGCAAAGGGTGGGCTCCCCAAAAAGGTGCTCAGTGCTGCATGACGCTGGTCCTATGCAGCGCAGTCAGAAGCTGCGGCCAAGAGCCCGAGTGAAGTCCGGCAGCGATGTCTCCGTCATCTGTAAGCTCGCGAAATCGCATGGACGACACTGCAGGTTCCAAGCAAACTACAGCCGCTGTTAAAGAATGCGGGCACTGGGGGGGTGGGGGGGGCATGCAAAGCCGGATGCTGTCAGTGCGGCCGTCATCCGGGCGCCTGCGGTCAAGGACCTTAGAACCTTAAGGCCTGCAAGCTCTACGAGCTTCTCAACAAAAGTGCTTCGTGCCTGCCTCTTCCAGCATCCGCACTGTACCGCACAGCGTGTGCGCCCCCTTCTGAAGGTTATAAGTCTTGCAGCCCCGTCTCTGGACCCACACAGAGAAAGAGACTATGTCTATAATTCGATCCACGAGCGGGAGGGATATCGGACCCAATTGGTCTTTCATGTCGACTCAATTAAATCAACGACGGTGTCCCTACGACATTGACATAGGACATAGGTTCGAAAAAATGTGACACATGACTGCACGTGAAAAGGAGCCTTTGAGCCTCAACATACCAGAACCTTGAACAAAGACATGACATGACGGAACTGCAACCGTGCATGTTGCCAGGCAGACCGAGTGCACAGAGGAGGATGCGCATGGAAGCATTGCATCATGTCTGGTGTTGGAACGGCGTTCTACGTGTTCAAACACGGTTCGGATCTGGATTGCTTCCACTTGCGAGGATTGTGACACTCTTGTGAAGTCTTGCCGGCAGGCTTTCCAAGCCAGCACAATTCAGGTTGAACATAAAATCGAAATCGGCCAGGCCAAGCCAGACAGCAGGTGCTGTTCAGGCATGACATGGTTGTGAGGCCCAGGCAGTGGGTTTTTCGGCGATGCCCAGACTTCTTTTCCCAAATTACTACATCACGCAGAGTGATGGTCAAGTTCACCACGTGCCTGAAGCCGAGACAGTATACCTAAGGCTTGGCGACTAAGAGCCCACCTGCACATCAACTACATCAGCTAGGCAACGGCTTCTCGGATGGAGGAGCAATGCGAATCATTAGCAGAAAGACTCCTGTGTTGTGCTGTGCAGGCAGGCACAACCAAGCCGATTCAGATGCGGTAGATTGGAGCTGGAGCACCTGCGATCCGGTTCGAGCGCAATGCTGCGTGGATGTTACTTCCGCACATACAGAGGCGGTGTCGCTGCGAGATCATGTGCTTACACGAAGGTTGTGCAGTTACGCGCCGGCACATGCATGAAACTCAGGTAAACACATACGGTACCGTAGGCCGGTGCCCACAGCAATCATTTTGCAAACTTGCGATTCTCTCGATAAGCGACCTGCATTATAGGTTTGGTTGTGGTGACACTGCCTTTCCAGAGAGCTGCATTCTGTGCCTTCTTCTGCGGTGGAGGTTGGGTTATCTAAGTGATCTAGTCGTTGAGGATCACGCGAAGGACGTCAGACTTAGAGTGACAAACGTAAACGTCGTCAGCATCGATGTTGGTATCGTCATGATGATCACCATCATCATCGTCATCATGCATCAGATGACGCTTAGACGTTCGTTGCCCCGCACATTTGTCATGAGAACAGGGTTGTCATTGTAAAATTCGAAGACTAATCTGTGAGTTTAGGACCACATTACCGTCCCTTGCGTTCCCACACGGTCGGGCAGCAGGTGCCCTGCACATGACAGCAGAACCGAAGCTCACAACCCTGGCGGTTCTTCCACATCAAGTAATATCCCTTAACTAAGGAATATACCTTAAATATATAATAATAGCAATACTATTATTTTTTATCAATATTAATAATTACTATTATATATTTATTTATTTCTTGTTCCCGAAGCAGCGCCTTTGCCGGGCTTGGATGCGCCCAGGTCACGAACCAGGCCCTTAGAGCTACGGCGTGGAGTCACAAAGTGGTATACGCGGTTAGCTTCTTTCTGCAAGTCTTTGTGCTCGTTTGTCTCGTCGTTGTCTTCTGAGTCGAGCAGTCCTGGGTGTTGAGAGCTGGGGCGCAGAAAAGGCCGTTTGCAAGGTTCCAGAGCACATTTTGCTTGGGATCTAGGGTGGAAGATCTCTTGGTGTCTTCTGAGGTTCGGCTTCCTGAGTTTCTAAGAAGATTCTTTCCGTTTCTCGTGGCCTCTTTTCCTACGTCTCATGTCTCCGCTCGTAGCTGTGACACGTAGATGGCCATGTTGGCTGAGAAAAGCCAGACAACCTTCACTCACCCTGCTCTCCGTTTAGCGCCTGGGCTTTGCTCGGGCTTCGAGCAGCGCCGAGGGCCCCTTTCAAGCTTTTACGATTCTGGGGAGCAAGAGCTCTTGTTCACTCCTCTTCAATTTTAGAAAAACCCAGCCATTTGTTGTGGGTTCCATTTTCTGAGGCCTCCTTACTTGCTAGTTTGCTCGGCCTGCCTTTGTGCCACTTTCTTTTTGCGTCAGAAGTAGCTCTGCGCTAGCATTGCTGCCCCTTTCATCTGACCAACATCTGGCCGAGGCGCAGAAGGCAGCAGGTGGTCCTGACTCGGTTGCTATCGATAGGGCTGCCAGGGCTGCGACATCCAGGGGTTCTCTCAACAGCCGAGGCTCCGTTGCGGAAGCAGCCTCACGCCCTGACTCACTTCCCTGATTGTCCTCTGGGCTGCCATTCACAGCAGTGGAGCGGCACCCGGGTGTGGAGATCTTCTGATTCTGGGCTTCATCCGCACGCGCCACATCCGCCTTCAGGCTTCGGCTGGGAGACGATGCGGGAACGGGAGTGCGACGACCGAGTCAGATTCCACCTCCCCTGGCCGAAAAACTCAGTACGAAATGAATCTTCCTCATCCAAGACATGCAAAGCATTTGTTTTGCAGGGGCTTCTTTCTTGCAGGATGTGCCAAACTGTCTAAGCTCAGCTTGCACTCGGAATTGCAGTAATCCTAGCTATCCTAGCTTTGGTTCTACGGGCGCTGCACGGCACGTTTGCCCACCCCCATGTCCTCCAGCAGATTTCGTAAGTCCTACTAAACCCGTTGCTTCATGGTGATTCAATCGAAAGCCCTATTCGACACTCAGGCCTTGGCCGGAGGCCGCGCCAACTTCTCTGCGGAGTCCGGCTCGGGGCGACTGCAGGCGTGCTCGGCTTTTCCGATGCTTTGACTTTGCTGGTCATCATCATCCCAATGCAGGAACAACAACAGCAACCACCAAAAATTTTGCCACTTCTACTTCTGCCGCTGCTGCTGCTGCTGCTGCTGCTGCTCCTCCTCCTCCTACTACTACTACTACGACGACGACGACGACGACGAGGACGACTCTTACTACTACCACTACTACTACCACCACCACCACCACACTGAGGAGGAGGACGACGACGACGATGACGACGACGACGACTACTACTACTTCTGCTACTACCACTACTACTACTGCTACTACTACTACTACTACTACTCCTACTGCTACGACTACGACTACGACTACGTGTACTCCTAGTAACTAGTCCTCGTCCTCCTCCCCCTCCCGCTGCTTCACCTGCTGCTGCCGCCGCTCGTTACTGCACTTGCTGCGGCTGCTTCTGGTTGTCGGTGCTATTTCCTCGAAAACTGTCCCGAAACAACCCAAATGTCTGGTACCTCGACAAAGGATTCCGAAAGCAAACCCCAGCGGCCTTGTGCGGACAACCTCAGGCGTGCGAGGTGCTTCCAGCAGAGATGCGCCTCTGCCGGTTCCCAACGCAGGATGGAAGCTTGTCATGCAAGATGACAACCCCTCACACCCCGCTTCATGAGGAGTTATGAAACCCAGCGTCTTGGTCATGTCCAAGTAGGTCGGGGAATCGCTCTGTCGCAGATGGTCGCAGGCTGAAATGCCGATGCTACGCATGAGATGACCAACATCAGAAAATGTTGGTGGCGCTGAAAGCATCCGAACGGACTCTGTGGGGCTTGGTGGCATGGGAGGGCCCCTTGGCCTTCAGCGCGACTGGGAGAGCCAGCGCCACCCCTGAAACAAGATGCCAGGTAGTGCAAGAGCATGCTGCTCGCACAGGTCCATGCGCTTGAAAGGCCAGTGGTTTTCGGCTTTTGTGCTTGTTGCTGGAACCTAGAAGCACTCGACATGAGTTCACACACTGTTCGGCAGCTTGCCTTTGCTGAAGCGTGGAGGGATACCTGACGAGTGCGGTTGTGGAGCAGTCTGCTACGGTACGGCAAGATGCGATCACAGATGCAAGGGAGCAACGCCTACTGTATGCTCAGTGCAGCACCGATGCCAGGCGCAGGTGTCGTACTCGTGCATAAGCATGCTGTGGCCATCCGGGTCTGGGTGGTAGAGGGAGAAATCTTGCTGGGGAATGTGTCCGTAGTGCCAGTCCTGGCCAGAGTGGAGTGCGAGCGAAGAGCAGGCCTGCTGCATTCAGACAGTCTCGGGACGGCGTGCTGTTCATCTCGGCAGTCCTGTGCTTCGTGTCCCATCTGATGCAGTCCTGGGGGGGCTCTGGGCTCAGCTGGAAGCCGGTCAGAGCGCAACTCGAGGACAGGCCAAACAACACACCGTCCTTGTCTGTGAGCCTGACAATGCTGCTGGTACAGCACCATCTCTGCGGCTGCCAAGCTGCACCTTCGCTCACATCACATTGTGGGCAGAAAGCAGAGGGATACAGCAACTGCCCCGCCTGTGCAGAAGCTCCGGAGTCATGCTGTGACCTTCCGCAAGAGCTGGTGACCGACTGGCCCTGTGCTTTTGTTGGCCCAGGCCCCTGCCTAATCCCGGTGGAGGCTGCATCAGCGAGTCGAGGGCGAAGCCGGCCATGAGCTCCGCGCCTCTGCGCATTCCTGCTTGGAAATACCTGCCACTGCGCGAGAGCGCGTGAGCTCGCGCGTGCGAACGCGCAAGTGCACTATCAGGTGGGAGCACGTCGCTACATCTGGCCGCGGTGGCGGAATGCCACTTGGCGGTGAAGATGCGCATTTGGCCGGTGCATGTTGAGGAGCTTGCACTGGCCGGTGACGGTCGATCTTCAGGGAGGGAACCGGTTATGCCAGATATGCTATTGACTTCTTCATTATGCCCCGATGGCGCAAAAACTGGCACTATAGTCCGCCTCGGACAGCAATTGCACGCAAATAGTGCCAAGTCCTTTGTGAGGGCTTCGACGCTTGTTGCCGATGTCGAGGACTTTCTGGCAAAGCTTTGACAGCCTTGGACACGATACCAAAATCAAAACGGTGCCGCATCATCTGAGACGTGCAACATTACTCGAGCATCAATGTGCTCCTATAGCCTGTAGCAAGCCCCGCTCACGTGGGAACACAGCATGAACTTCTGAGAGGCATGTTGCTGTAGGAGTTATTGCTGGGCTGGAGTTGAGCCTGTTGGAACGAGCTTGACTGTCCTTGATTTTCTGGCAGCCGGGGCACAGTTCTAGGCGGGGCACATCACGGGTGGGTGGCGCAAAAACCGCGAAGCAGGGCAGGTGGTAAAGCCATTCCTCAGATGCATACGGAGCTAGTTCATGCTGGCGAGCGGGGGATCGAAGAGTTGTCTTCTAGAGTCGAGAGGTATGGTGTCACAAGGACCAACGAAAGTGCATTGCGGATTGTGCGACCTCACGGGTTCCTGCGCGTACTCGTGCCGGCACTGCCTCACAGCACCGGTAAACAGACGGACGACGAACACAAGGAATGTCATTCTGAAAATAGGATGCTGCGATGACACCTCAAAACTAGAAGAAGCGAATGCAGGCAACGATTCGGCTCGTATCTTTCGTGCCCGGAAAGGTGCTGATATTGAAGCGGTAGACATCACGTCACACCCTGCGCGATCTTAGCCTGCACCTGCTTTCTGCATAATTGTGCTCAAACTGGGTATGTCTAGTCTCTCGTGCGAGGGGCGTAGAAATGATACAGTACTTTGCCGCGTTGCTTTGAGGTCAGCTTTCTGGGGGGTCAACTGCAGTTGTCCCCAGGAATTCTCTGCTCTTCAATCTGCAGCGTGTATGGGAGTGATGCGAGTGACTGCGCTGTCATATTCCAGGCGGATTCATGCAGTGTTCGCCAAGAAGCTTGTTCACGAGCTCGTCGGGGATCCGTCAGCAGTGGCTTGGCGAATTCGATGCCCTGTGACACTGTGAAGGGTGAAACAGCAGCTGGAATTCCGAGCACGCAGCGGCGTAGCGAGGTGCCCTGCCTCCTGGAGGTCCCAGAAGACGGGGTGACCCGAAACCTGCGAGACCTTGGCACTTCAGCGGAGGGATGTTCGAGGCGCCGGGCTCGGCGAGCAGCTCGGCTCTCAAGAGTCGGCCTTGAGACGTCTGTGGGGTTCGGAAGCGATGAGGCGGTCCACGAGCTCCAACTGGGCCAGTGTGGCTACAGTGACTACAGTACAGGCCCAGAACAGGTGCAGTTTGGGTGCGATTTGTGAAGAAGTAGGCTGCGGGATCGCTGGTCGTGGCAGTGGTGGTATAATTGCGGCGACTGTGGGTGTTGTCAAAATTCATCAAATCCGGAGCATGACATCAAATCTACACTTTCAAGCCTTCAAGCTTGTGTGCATCTTTGGGGGTAAGTGTGTGTGTGTGGGTCATGCTAGGTGGAAGGAGAAGTGCTTCGGACCGAGCTAGCCTGGGACCAAGAACACTGCAACCAAGGTGCGAACAAGGGAAGTTCCTCAAGTTTCTTCCGATTCGCGACGTTGCCCGCTCGGATGTTCGAACAGACCTGTGATCTCCACGCTTGGCATCATCGAACTCCAAGGCACTCCAAGGCACTTCACGTTGCCTGACACCCGCAGCAACCTGGCTCATGCAATCGAGTAGCATGTCCAGGGCAATCGACATTCCCGAAGGGATGGGCTCCGGTCAGCAAGAAGAAGATCAGCACACCCAGCTGCCAGGAGTCCACCCTCATGAGATCCTCAGAGTCTGGCCGAGGCTAAACTGCCTGGAAGTTCGAAGTCTTCAGGCCCCGGCTGGGGGGGCCGTTTTTGAGCTGAAGTGCGTTGCTCCTGCCGGCACCGCTGTCCTTGCAAAAGGCACATTTCAACGACAAGAGCGGCAGCTGCTATAGGTCCCGAAGTTCCCACTGTCTACGCACTTCCAAGTGTCGAGACGTGCAAGTGGACCTCTGCAGGGTACCACATGGCCCAGGACTCATCAAGAGAGCTGCAACCATTCCTGACACAGATAATTAATGCACAGTACGTGGTCGGTCTGTGCAGCACAACAACTACACGCGGCGTGTATGTTTACGCATCTATTCAGAACTTGTATCATGTCTGTGCATTAATGAATCGAATCCAGGCGACTCCAAGCACCGCAGAGTCGTCACCTGGACAGGTGTGCAAAGTAAGGCATCGCTTGCTCGCTCTTACGCATGCACGACCTCCCGACACTGCCACAAACAAGCAGGCTTAGCAGCAAGTACAAAGACGAGGATCCGAGTTTGTCGCAAGCTTTCCCAGTATGATAGAGGCGAGCAAGCTCTACGATGTGGGAACGGCCACAAAATATTGTAAAACCCCGCGAGACCAGCATCTTGCAATCCCTTGCGACGCCCTCATGTTATCGACCCGTGCCAGTTCGAGACAAACGTGCACACGACTCCCACCTGATGCTCTCTTGCCAATCAACAACGGATGCACAGGTAGTTCGCGTAATTATGCTGTTCTAAGCGGTCTGCATCAACTTATGCAAGCTGACCGAATCAGCTGGTGCCACAGCACTCCGGAAAGAGGAGAGGGCGAAACCCGGCAAACTGTTATCCGCCGTGCCTTCCCCAGAAAGTCGCCCACCCGTATGTCCAATCCACCAACACCGGGCCCAACCAAAATCGTGCTTGGACCGATGCAGCTGTGCCTCAGAAAGTGCTGGAAAAAGATACGGGTACCGACAATGCATCTGAGCGCCTCGAATCTGAATGCAAAGCCTCTTGGACAGACAGTCCCAGCCACGCAATGTCAAGATCATGGAGCGCCTCCAAGCCGTTGACCAGCCTTACTGGATCACACTGGTTACGACGCATCCTGCAGGCCACCGACTCGCCGTCAGCTCTGTGAATCCACGAGCCCAGGCACTGTCGGATCCATTTTGCAACCAGCTGCGTCACAGCCCAGCACTTGCGCGCCTCCTGCAGCACTCCTTAGACTTGAGGAGTGGGGCCACACCACGGTGTCTGCTTGACGCCAAGGCGCCATTTGGCAAGGACTCCAATGTCTTGCCCAAAACTCGGAAATGCGATGGCACCGCCAAGGCTGTGGTGGCCTGGGTTGGATAAAGATCACGTGTCGGAAGAGTACAGTGGCATTGTGTAATCTCCGTATGGGGTGACTTTGACCAAAGCGCACGGGAAAAAATAGGACCCGCACGACAGTGCGGCGCAGGAAGAATGGTGCTGGAAGGGGCGTTTTGGACAGCCAGCGCCTCAGGAAATGTGTCGGAGCACACACATTGTGATCATCATCCATATCATTGAATCATCCCATCTGATAAGGATGCCGACATGGACACCGCATCATGTCCTCGTTAGACCACCGACGATGTACGACATCCAAGGCAAATCAGCACGGGCAGCAGCCACATAGATGCCGCTACAAAATGTTGATACAGCGTGCGTGCGGAACTGCACTAAACGGAATCGAGGCCTTTGCCGTGACCGCAAGTTTAACTGTCTGCGTCAAACGGCGGTTCAAACCCCGTGTTCGAGAGTAACCAAAATCCTACTCCAAAAACACCAAGAGAGACCTACTACTAGTACTGGTAGTACGACAAGCGGTGGGATCCAAACCAGGGAGTTCGTACTGCGCTCTGCAATGCCTTGCAAGCTCAAAGGCGCTTCAGATCTTTGACCACGCGATTTGCCAGCTGGCTTTCGCTCCTGAATCGCCGCAGCACGAGAAGAAAAGTCCGGGCACGCAGTGCCAGGAAAGCAGACATGGAATGAAAGCTGTTCTAGGCGCTAGTTATGCCGAACAGTCCTGGACGTCGAAAGTAGTTTGGCAAAACAGGGCTGCGCCTCCAGCCCTCCGGTCAGCGCAACATGATTGGCCACAGCAAAAAAATCAACAGGCTCAGACTACGCCGGACCTGCGTCAGGCACATACTTTGCCGGCCGCACGAGGCCACCGCAAAGCTCGAATCCGTAGGACTGCAACGGTGGCACCTGAAAGGGTCGGCCGCTGCCACCAAGTAGCTTGGAGCAGCACTGATCAGGAGGCCTCACCGGAATTTCGGACATGCAGATCTTTCTGGTCCCCAGCCGGCCACCACCTCGGCGGGTCCTGGACAAGGAGCTCAGGGAGGGCCATGGTGCGCCAGAGCACGGCGATGCACGGCGTCTACGGGTCCTCGCATCTCACCATGCCCGGCTGCAAGGGCCCAGACGATCTCGTCGAAGTTTGTAACGGATGAGCCGGGAGGGCCAGAGCTGGAGGAGCGAATTCCTTAAATCCCGCCGAGGGTTCAATTTAGGGTTTCCATGGGTTTCCGAGCAGGCAAGCGTCTCTACGAAGCTCTTCTTCGGCATGAGCGTGGGGGCAGTAGAACATGGTGCACTGCTTCCTCAGCCAAAACGAAACACTGAGCCTTGTCCTCAGCGGCTCTTAGATCTTGCGATTCGCAGAGCCGCCTTCATGGAACCAAAGACTCCGTTTGCCAACTCTAGGCGAGTCGTGCATGCACACGTCTCGGCAACTCCAATATGCATCGCACTCTATTTACAAGCTGTGCGACATCTCCATCTGCGTCTCTGGCCAAATCGGTCGAGCTACTTCTCCGGGCACAGTTGCGTGCGGTACATGGTGGGATGATACAGGCACTCCTGTGCCAGGCTCATGCTCTCACTTCTGTGAAGTCGCAGAAACCCATATCTGACATGGATCGCACGGCAGGTGGGCCCCCCCTGAACACAACTTTGAGAGTCCCAATGTGCGCGGCTCCTCCACGGTGTGCGCCTGGTGCCGGGGCGCTGTTCTGAGTTCGAAGGGATTGCTGGCAAGTCTAGGAGTCCAGGGTAAGTAGTTTCGCGTTGTCCTCTTTTCCGTGACCACTTGGGGAATACAGAAAGAAACATAGCTAGCCAATACTGTACAGTACAAGACGATTCACGGGGCATGGCATGGCGCTCGTTGGTAGCGGCCTTTGGACATGCGTCTCCGAGGTGGCATGTCGCAGGTGAAGAACACATTTCCGGCGAGTAGGAGACCTCGCGACCGGAAGATCGCCCTGAGACCATGAACTCCGTTTCCCCTCTCCTCTCGCCCGCTGATCTGTGTGTCCGGCATGTTTCGGGTTGCGCCGCGGCACCTTCGGCTCAAGTGCAACCGTACGGAAGGAGCCTCGCAAGGCCCGAGGGGCCCAGGGCGGCCTCGGCCGCCTCAAACTGTTTGGCACTGCGACCCCAACTTCGGGCCCCGATTATTAAGCGAGGCTCTTCAAAGCACATCGGCTGCGGTAACACGGAAAGCACGAGTCCGAATTGCTGCCCAGCAGCAGAATGCGCGTACTGACAGCGGTCTCCAAAGCTACACTCGTTCTTCGTGAGGAGCCTCTCGCAGGGTTTCGTGCCTTGGCCAAGCAGCATCCAGAGAAACACAACGTGAGCGCGCAGCCGTCACGAGCAGCGTTGTTCTTGGGCAAGGACGTTACTGAGAGACGCAAGGACCGAACATGACCAAAACATGGAAGTGATAAGCCTGTCGCTGGTTTCACCAACATCTTCTGGTCATGAAGACACTACAATATCTACGATGTGCTGTGGGAGAGTGGCCATCATTACCAGCTTGAGTTTGAAAGCATCAGAACCTGTCATCCACTGCTGCATTGCAATGGAGCTCAGCTGATAAGGCTCCGGCTTCCGGTTAAAGGCTGTGTGCCAGGCTGAGATGCGGACGAAACTTGGCCAGGCTCTTCTCCGTCAGAGAGGAAGCCAGCGCCATGTGTGGACCTTGTGCCAGGCTGCATCTGAGACCCAGCTGGTCAAGTCTCACGCTGCACAAGCTTCGCTATGACTTCTGCAGAGTCCGGTAGCATTCTCAGGCACAGCTAGGCAGCCAGCTGTTGCGTTGAGGTGTGAAAGAAGACGATCAGGCAGAAAAAAAATAAATTCGCTACTTCCCCGTCCACCTCTCGAGTGTTCTCAAAACGAGAAACACTGGCTCAGAGCACACAATCTCAAAGCTGGGATTCACTCCTTCTACATCATGCTGGACGCCAGCATGGTGGACGGGATTCTCAAATTCAACTTTCCTGACGGGGTATCAGCCCTATGAAGCGGGCTGACATCACCTGAGCAAAAACGGCGACGACACGATAAACTGCGATTGGTCGGACATGGCTCTCTCCTGCCGTATCCCACCCGGGCATCCGGATGGGGGGGGGGGGCTCTTGCTGGGCTTTTTGCACGACTCCCGCGCGTCTCGCGGCGTCCGTGGCGTGCGAAACCATCAGAACCTTGGCGGGGCGAGGTCTCTGCAAAACAGGTGGTGCTGCAAGACTGCATTGCACGCTCGACAACTCTTTGGGGCGTCTGGCCAGACCCGCACCCGATACTCTGCGCTCTGCCGTGGTTCGGCATTGGGCGGTGCCTGTCACTCGAGATGCGCTCCTTCTGCCCACTGTGCGATCAGGCAGTGCAAGCGGAGCAATGCGGCACCGCGCACCGTCGGATCCTCGAAGGCGGTGTGGAAGCAGGTGTTCAGCTCCGGCCGGCCCTCCTGGCCTCGGCGGGTCAGTACACCATGCAGCTGTGGGCCTGTGGGCTCTACCCCCTCCCCCCCCCCGCCGCCCCCTCTGTCAGTCTGCCGTGCTGCGCTTGAAATACTGGAAGGACTTGAAGACGAGGACCTCGTCCACGGTCATGTCCTAATCAAGCCCGTGCAAGTGATTCCCGAGAGGCGCATGTGGCATGACGGACACGCAAACGCCGGATTGGGAGTCCGGATAGTAGTACCAGCGCTGGTCGCCATCATGAGCCAGAGCTAGCATCTTCACATACCCCAGCTCGTCCCAGCGGATGTTGATGGGCACTGTGTCCTTCGTAAGTCGCACGGATCATGGAAGGCGGCGGCAGCTTAGAGTCCCGACGAGGCCTCCATCTTCACGCTTCTGGGATCGCAAACCGCCAGTGGCGCTTTCTTGACCGGGCCTGTTCGTGACTGCCTGCGACCTACGAACTGCGCTGCACGACGACACCTTTCATCGGGAGCACAGGCCGCCAGAAGTTCACGGCCATGAAGCCTGGATCACGATCGAGCAACGTCTGCGAATCTACGACTACCAGTACCATCCGAAACGCAGAGGCACCCGTGACATTCGGCTCGTCAAAGCGAGCTTTGAAGCCGTTGTCTGCCAGCGGCCAGTCGTCGGCTGTGTAGCCGTAGTCCTCGTGACATCAGAGCACTCTCCGCTGACCTGTGCTCTCACATGTGTACAGGAGACAACGACAGAAGCCCGCACCTGATGCACAGCGAAAGAGTATGTCGGATTCTTTGTGCCCGGGCCACGCCGCGCACAGAGCGGATCCTCACAACAACACATCTGCACCGGCAAGGTTTGCGGGACATCCCCCGGAATTGATGTCCCCGATGTGTAAGCGTTCTACAGAGAGCACTGGACTAAGACCATCCACGGCGCCAGCTCCACAAAGGTGGCGGCCGGCATCAGCTCCCTGCAGAGACTCACGGCTGAAACCAGAGTCTACCGAAATAAGCCCGCCATACCCGCCTGACCATCTCCTCCACCTCCTTGGCATAGATGCGTGAGATCGCAGTCTCAATCTTTGGCATCCCCATGCCTGCAAGAACTGATCGTGTTGGATTTCTCGTATAGGACCTAAACTGCTACACATCACAAGCAATGCGAAGTGGCGAACTGGCCGAAGGCGGCCCCACGGCCCTTATGTGGACTCGACCCATGCTCGAACCTGTGAAGTTGGAGAGGTCCAGCGTTTTCGGTGCACAGTTGGTCCAATCCTCGGCCTGAAGCGGCTCCCATGGCGCATCATGATGCATCGCCTGCTCTTCAGCTTACCCAGCACATGCGCAACACAGGCATGCTAAAGGATTGAGGACGCTGAACGTTGAGGCCAACTTCCACAATCCAGCGACCTGCATATTCGTAGGTCGTCGCAAGAGCACGAAGCCGTATTTCTCGAAGAACTCCCGCTTCCTTTGTCCGGATGGCGATGCTCAGACTGGTGCTCAAACGCCGACACTAGCAAAGCCATCAGAGCAACATCCGACCAGATTCACAAAAGCCGAGAATAACTGACATATCTGTTCAGGCAAAGTGGCGACAGTCCCTCCATAGCTTCCTGCTCCCTAGCATTGAACACCTTGACCGCTACCTCGAGCCAGGCTCACGCAAGATCACGAAGATTTATAGGCTTCGTTTAAGCGAAGGAGCATCTATGCTGATGCACGCAGCGAAACTAACCCGTCGACGCTGACCACATGATGTGGCTATGTGCGGTGTCGAACATGGATCCACGAGGGACTCCGAGGGCGGACTCCAGAAACCGGCATTCCGAGCTGAGGCAGAACTCTATTTAGGCAATCCAGACCCAGCCCGTTTTGCAAACCTGCTGGGCCATTTCAAGAGTCGACATGCATCCATCACTCCAGAATGATCGAGGACTACTTCAGACAATGTGCAAATTTGACTTTGCCAAGGTGCCGAAGGCCGCACCAAGTTGGCAAAGTAGCGGCCGGTCTGCCAGACGCTGCTAAAGCTCAGCGGCGGCCATAGCGTAACAGGATGCCTCAGTACATACTTTCTGGAACAATGATGAGCTGACTTGCGATGTCCGTGCCAGCAGTCTCAGGGTCTGAAGACTAACAGCGCTTGCTCTGCATGCAGCTCAAGTGTCCAGTCTCCTTGTCTTACAAAGCCCTTCTTGTGGAGTCCCATGAACCTGAGCTCAAGTTCTTGGCTCAAAGCTTCAGAGCCGTGGGAGGCCTTACCCGCTTCACTGCAAGCGGCTTCGCTTCCACAAATCTCGCACAAGGCGTCTCGGAGGGGGCAGAGCACTTGCTCGCCTGCCGGCTGTTGGTCTCAAGCGAAGGGGGATAAGAAATCAAAGCCACTGCTCCCAAGCTTCAGTTTAGTAAACAGGGACCCTGCGGTTGCCGGTTCAAAGGGTTCTCTAGAACAAATCGCAAGACTTTTCAGCCGCACCGATTCGCGACGTTGGCCCAGAGCCACTGCTGCAAGTGCGCAGCAGCATGGCCGGAGGGCGCTCATGGAGAAGCTCAGAGGCCCAAAACTATGAAATATTGAAAATATTATAAGATGAATTACTTGAATCAGCTGTTGTTTGCCTGGATGGTTGGGCTGGCAGGGTGGGAGGGTTTTGATGTTCTTCGTTGGGAAGCATGTCCCGTTCTGCTTCAGGCTGCTCATAGGGCGGAAGGTCAGATCAATGAGTTACAGCTTCGTGATGATTGCATGGTAAGGCTTGGGAGCTGCATTGCAATCTATGAGCTGACTCGCAACCGCAAGGAGGTGGCACAAGCCCACCAACGAGCTTGAAGACACAACCAGGCGCCGAATCAGAAATCAAGCGGATCCATCAATGACCCTCTACGGCTTACTACCGTCCGAATTCTGGGTCCATCGCCAATGAAGACTGCTTCAGGGATGCCCTTGCATCCTTCTGACTGCGGCCTCCCAAGGCAAGTGCACCCGTCTGCAACCGTGTTTAACACTTGCCACCGTTGTTGTGGTTCAAAGACACTATGCCATTATTCCATTGCGAGACGGCAACACTAAAGACTGCCGTTCATGCTGTTGTCATGTTGATTCGTTTTCGTCGCAGTCGGCGTGGCCACCATCGTCGCAGCGGTCGTCACAATGTCTGTGCCTGTGTGCATGGTCATGGTCGTCGTCGACTTCGTCGTCGCAATCATCGTCGGAGGAGCAGCAGCAGCAGTTGGCCTCCGAGTCGTTTAAGAATCGTACTAGTAGGTGGAGCTGTCGTCATACTCGTACTAGTACTAGTGGTACTAGTACGAGTAGTAGTAGTAGTAGTAGTAGTAGTGGTGGTAGTAGTAGTAGTAGTAGAAGTAGTACTAGTAGTAGTAGTGACAGGCGTCCGTCGTCGTCCTGCATGCCTACAGCCAGCAGGGCGTGTTGCCATTACGATTGTTGTTCTTACTGTAATTTTCTTGCTGCCACTGTCAGGCTGTCAAGACGAGAATCCGCAGCCCGCCTTTCGTTCCTCCTGTTGCCACTGCTTGCCGCCTCAGGCGCTTACAGTAGAATGTCTTGCATGTTTTTGTTCTTGATCGTCAGTGTTCTTGTTGGTATCATGAGGCGGCCTACTCGTGGCAACTCTGCTGCGAGCAATGATACTATGAACGTGCGACAAAGGTTTTTGGAGTTTCAAGCGCTGGACTAGTCACTAATTAGAGTCAGTGACTCGCCGTTTGTCAAAAGCTCTGCTGAGGCAACTGCCCCATCGCGCCGAAGTAACCCTGACACGCGATGATCGCTTCGCTTGTGAGGCTGCAGGGAACAGACTGTTTTCAGCTTCAGCTTGTGCCTCGTAGAGGACCAGGAGCGCTGGCCTCCGTGGGCAATTGAAACGTTTAGCTGAGAAGAGAAGAATGCAGATCGGCTCGTGTGTGTGGGAATCTGGCGCTTTTGGCTTGGTAGGTCTCTCTCGCAGCTGCCTGCGGCTATCCTCAAGAGGCACGGAAGCCCCATTCGGGGCTCCATGGCAAAACCAAAGCATGTCCTGTCAAGCCCATCGGGGCAAAGAAGCAGAGCATCACTTTCTTCCGGGACACTTTGGTCCCTCATTCCACGGCTGCACAGGCTGCACATCAGGGTTCCAACCCGCCTTGTCAATTCAACCTACATCCCCACGATTTGGTATGCGCGACTGTCAGACTTTGCAGGTCGACCTCTGTCAGTTCTTCCATCTATGGGACCGGAGGATTCCCGATGCAGCTGCATGCGCGATGCGTTAACACATGTGGCCGGATGCCACCACTACCTAATCCTACGAGCTCAGTCAGCTTCCATATCCGTGTTGTCGACTACTCACAGGTCTTGAGTCCGAGGATTGGGCACCCCAGCTCTACGGCAAGGCTGCGGTATAGGTCTGAGGGGAAAGGAAAACGAGAAATAGCGAAGCATCAGTGCTGCTCCGGATTCAGAACCGACACGCGATTGTACGTCCGCGTCGCATTCTCCTGTGGCGAAGCTTTCTAGGTTGATTTGCTGTTGCTCCGCATTGGCAACACCGTCCAAACCTCTCCAACAGCGGAACTCCCGCATAAATAACCTGCACACTTGCCGCCATAGATCACATTGTCATACCTCATACCGCATGAAACTCTGTGCAAGCCCCGCATCCAGCGGTCCCTGCGGGAAGTGAGGGTCTTGGCGAGCTGGGTGAGTCGCTGACCCGACAAAATGTTCCTGGCTCAATGGATTTAGGGTTTAGGGCTTCTTTTTCTAGGACTTTGGCTGCGGCTTTCCTCAGTGGGCCTTGGGCTGAAAAACTGCTCGGGGGCCTCAGGGGTCTTTTTGGGTGCTTTGTGGCTTTGTGGTGTGTCTCTTTGACCTATCAGTCGACGCCGAGACGCCTCCTGCGCCAAGTCTCAAGACTGTTGGACAAATGCTAGAGTCTAGCTAGAGCTCCAATGACCGAAAAGGAAAAGACGCGAAAAGCTGCACACGGACACGTGTCCATGTAAAACCTCAAGAGCATGTGCTTGGCATAGATGGCTGTCAAGCGAGATGTGTACAACTTCTCTTCGAGCCGCCTCGAAGTCAAGTTCAGTTGCCACATGTGCTCCGCTTCAAACTGCTTCCCGTTGCATCACAACGTGTGAAAAGCTATGTGGGGCATCGTGTTGCCGCATGCTGCCAGACAAGCAATATTCATGCATCATCATGCATCCTTGACCCCTGCTCAGTCTTCTGTAAGGATGCTCCTCTACATATCTTGTCCACAGCAAACGTGGGGTGGTCCGGCACAGGGGCAGATTTGGAGCATTAGCTCTGCGAATTGGCAGTCTGCAGCACAGTCACTACGACTCCTGCCCCGTCTCAGCAGAGGGTGAACCCACTACATTCCCAACCTCCCGAAATCCTCAGGCGCTTGTCTGCCTGTTCGTCGCTGTCTGCTTCACGGCCCTAGGCCGCGCAGTGACCTTCAGTGTGGCAGTGGCGCTGACTTTCACGAAAGCATTGTTGCTGCAGCTATCCGACCGCAGTTGAAGATACGAGTAGAAGCAGGAACGCATCTGGCTACCTCTTGAAAAGTTTAGTTTGGCTTGTTGAACTTTCAAAGTAAGGCTTGCAGTATTGGTCTCCTGGTAATAGCACACAAGATATCCACGCACCTACATCTTTTCCTAAGGAGCCCTCCACACTCACCAAACCCTTACTTCATGCGCCTGTTTCATTTCGACTGACTCTGTCCTGTGACAGAGTCAAGCACTCTCTCGCCTCTAAATGGCAAGAACCTCTTGGAGAGGACGAGCCTACTGATGCAATGTACTGCGCTTGCTTCCAACACACCAGGTGTAAACCGGCCCGATGGAAAATGCTACGCAGCAACGTCTGTCAACGTTCCTCTCGACATGCTGTGTACTCATCAGCATTAGCGATTCAAGCCCTCGTCCTCGTGTTCTGGTGATCGCTTACATAAGGACTTCCTGAATAGACAAGCAACTGGCGTAAAGCAGCGCTGAGCACTTCCGTCTGTGTGCAACACGGAGTAGTCACCTTGAAACGGCAGCAAAGGGCCATTCGAGTCAATATGGAGCTCTGTCGTTGGCAGACTTCTTCGACAAGGGATCGGAGGTGTCGATGGCACAGTGAAGAGAACCCTGCACTTCTTTAAATGCACCCAAGGAGACCATGTTGGACCCAGTAGTCCACCAAAGCCTCACCCTGCGCGGTGTATCGCAGGTACTCGAACTCCCACGCTGGCATCCTGGCGGCGAGAATAGAAACCCGGGTTAGTTTTAAGCATTGTCAACAACACAGCAGCGAGAACCATGCAAATGGAATAACTAGGCGCGCACCAGACCTGTTTCAAAGCAGAAGCTTCACCACACGCGCGCGCGCGCGCAATTCCACGGCAGCTGGCCGTACATACCTTGAGGAATACTGCCTTTTTTGTTTATTTCTGAATGCGTGCCAGCGTCCAGGCGTAAAGCGTGATCTCCGGGCTTTCGAGGTCCTGTGAAATCCACCAAGGCCCTGTTTTGAGGAGATGCGCTCTCAGGCTCAGCGCTCGGCTCCTGCTTCAAAGCAAAGAGGTCTGGACAAAGTGCCGGCGACCTCGGATGTCAACCTCTGGCTTGCCACATAGCTTGCGATGTTCATGCTTACAATGTTTCGCCCAGGGACAAGGGGTGAGCTCGAAGGAAGCGGCGTGCCAGACTGCTCTGCTTAGATGTAAGCCTCATGGTGCTCGATGATCGGCTGGGAATGAACTGCATGTAATCGCCCCAGGGTACCTTGATGCACTGTTCAGATGCGGCTTGGCTGAGGAGGCCCCAATGACAGCCGAGTCTTCGACTAATCTGCATCAAGGGACAAGAGGGCTCATGTGCCCACGGAAGATGCTTCTCAAATACCGGGACGGCAGCCCCGTGCGTTTTGAGATGTCCTCCCATCTTGGAATGCTGGACACAGTCTTTGTATTTTACGAGTGTCACTTGTCGGGCCTCCTCTTCCTTCGCCTCGAAAGATGTTGCCTCCACCTGGATGAAGTCTGAGAGCGGCGTGAGCCTCTGACGCAAGGAAGCAATGCACACTACGTACCTCTCAGCATGCAACCTATGACTTCCTCTCGCCGGCATATCTGTGCACTTAGCATGCGGTCCCCGGCCGGGGAAGTCAAGAACAGAGCCTATTCATTCCTTATTCCTGCAAGCCGGGCGGACGCTCCTGCTCTTGCAAAGCCTTGCAGCAGCATCGTAGGGTGGCTCCCCATGCCTGCGGAATGGAAATATGGCAGGCAGCATCACTAGAATCATCAATATTCGGGCTCGCACACTTGCCGAAAGTTGCCATCCGATAGCGAAGCGCATGAATGTATAATGCGATCAGCCTGAAGTAAGTTCATGCGAAAATGTGAGCTTCCGTTTGCAGGCGCTTTGGCATGAGCCGCTCTGACCAAATTATTGTTGTGCTTTCTGCTTCTATCTCCCTTTGCATGACTAGCTTCGCATGTTCCTCTCCAGCCAAGACACTTGACCTTGACGCCCGGGTACTTGATCTCCGCAAAGGCCGTTCTGCTGGCCTCATTATTCCACTCGCTCTGGAAAATTGGACTTTACAGACCTGTGCTGCTCAGGCGCAGGAACGTAGAACCCCATGGAGACCAAAATGCACCTCCGCCACCACACTGGAGTGCACTGATGGAATCCGATGCGGCTCAACGCGGCAGAGATACATTCCATGCTACAGCATTACTCATCATCATCACCATCACCATCATCATCGCATGCATGCATGCATGTCATCATCATCGTCATGACCATCATCATCAGCAACAGCAGATTCATCAGCATCAGCATCATCAAAGTATCTGTACCGTAGTTTTCCGAAAGCGGTGCATCCACTTGTAGACCGTCATAGCTTTCTGACTTGGTATCACCTGTATTATGTTACAGTCGCGGACATCACCGTAGACATACATGACACATGCATGCATGCATACATACACATACATACACATACATACATACATACATACATACATACATACATACATACATACACACACACGCACATACATACATACATACATACATACATACATACATACATACAGCGCCCGCAGACTCAGACAGATAGTCAATGCCAGCAGCCAAGACATGATTCCACACAGAATGGTGCCATCAGAAGCA